AGCTGCCCTCCGGTTCGCCCGGGCAGCTGTAGCCTTGACCGGCCTCACCGGGCGGGATGAGCGGAGGCTCCCCGGGCGCCCTTCCAACCCCGGCCCCGCTCGGGGCTCCGCCTCCGGTACCCAGCGGGGCCGGCAGAGCCGAGGCCCGGGCCGGCAGTGCCGCCTGCTGGCGGGAGCGCCGGGGCTCGTCCCGCCCGCGCTCATCCCGAACCGCCGCCATCCTCGGCCCGGCGCCGCGGGGCCGCCACCGACTGCGGGAACGGCCACACCCCCCCCTCTCCCCGCTCCCTCCGCCAACCCCGGGGATGGTGACGTCGCTCTGCTTGACGCCACGGCGGGCGACGTCACGGCGAGGCCCGTGTGACGTCAGTACCTTGAAGGCGTGCACCTCGAAGCCGAAGGGGCCTAAGGCGCCGCGGAGACCCTCCGCCACGCGCCCCTCCATGCTGCCCGCCGCGCGGGGCACCACGGGAAGGGTAGTTCTGACTGCCCCTCCTGGGAGGCGGCGCAAGGCACCCTGGGATTTGTAGTGCACGCCTCCCTCCCCGCCGGGCAAGTTCGCCCGGCGGAGACTCCATGTCCCAGCGGGCTGTGCGCGGGGGGAGGGCAGGGCGGGGCGGGGCAGGGCCGCTCGGGGCCTATGCCGTCTGAGGGGCGGCCCCGCCTCTCTCTGGTGGCTGGCAGTGGCTGTGGCTTCCCCCGGGGGGGCGGGTCGGCTGCGGAGCGAGGCGGGGGCTGAGGCGAGGCTAAGGATGCGGGAGGCCCAGGTGGGCTCCATCCGCCGCAGCCCCCGGTAGCGTCTGTCGCTCTGGATCCGCGGTGGGTTTGCAGCGTGACAGACCAGGCCCCGAGAACGCTGCGGCTGAGGGGCGCCTGCCCGCCGCCCAAGCAGCCAGGCCACAGGGGAGGCGGCAGCCATCCCGCACCGAGGTGGTCTGAGGGCTGCGGTGGGGTCTCCTCTCTGTTAGGACAAAAGGTCTCCCAGCGTAGTTGCACAGCGTGCCCATCCGTGCTGTATGGCTATGAATCGTGCATATTTCTCTCCCATCACACACCGTTTGAAAGCCCCACCTTCCTGTGTGGGTGGACGCTGCTCCTTAAAATCATTAGCAAAGCCTCTGTGCTGATCATCCTTTCTCCTTCCCCATCTCAAAGCTAACGTGTTCTTTGCAGCTTCCCTATTTCCTACCAACACATAGGGACCAAGCCTCAGATTTGGATCTCCTTACCCTTATCTTCGTAGCAGTTTAACACAGTCTTTACAATTCTTGTGCAACATTTCCTAACCATTACGAGTTTTATGAAGTCTCAGGACACCAGGTCTCAGGTTCTTGGGGACAGAACTACTTCAGATATGCAAACTTCTTTCCTTGTGGAGTTCCCTTACATCTTCTAGAACTGTAAAAGTTTTTTCTTATTGTATTGATGCCCTCTGTAGAAGCAGGGCAAAAGGATCCTGTCGGTCTTATTTAGAATTAAGGTTTGTTCTCCCCAGGTCTCCCTGTATTGAACCAGTTTACTATGTTCTTTCCTGAACTAAGATCTCATATAAAATCTGGTTTTGCCCATCTACTCAGACCTTTGAATTGCTCACTCAGTCTGTGAATTGACTAACACAGGAGAAAGAGCTGAAGTAGGAGCAGATCAATGAGCTAGAAGGTAGTGAAGGTAAAGGCACTTGAACTGAAGCATGGAGCCTCCTACACAGATGGCTTCTTGTCTTGGTTGCTGAAGTCCTTCTGAAGAAACAACAGGCTGTGAGTGTAGCTTGGCACGACATAGTGCAGTCTGTGTACTAAACAAGTGAGCACAAAGTGTTGGATAAAAGGCAGAAAGGGCTTTTTCATTTCTTCCCTTGCCTTGTCTTAAGTGATCTGAAAACCTGAGAATCACCTCTGCTTCCCAGGAAAGAAAATGGACAGTGGAAAACAGCTTGAACAAGTTGAAGTGACTTCCTGGAGGGCCATGACTCTTGCTCTAGAGTCAGGTATCCTCTCGTGGAGTCCTTTGTTGAAACCCTTGTGATGCACAGTATTTAGGCAGCTGGCCAAGTTGCTTTTGAGGTTGTTTAGTTCAAATATTTGAATTTTTAATATGCATCTTGTCTGTTTTTCTGAATGTAATGGTCCAGGAAGACAGGATTTCTGTGGTCTGATGAGCACACGGCATAGTGACAGAGGGGGGTTCTTGGGCTACTGCTGTACTCTGCCTCTGTCAGGGATTGGTGTGGGACCAAACCTTGAAACCATCTTACTGGCTGTTCCTTGATCATATTCTTACCCCTTCTCTCCCAGCAACTGAAGAGCTCGGCTAGGACTTTAACACCCCTTGCCCTTCCCGTTTGCTGTTACAGAGGTTACTCAGCGATTGCAGGACAGCACTTAGAGAGCTTGGAGGCCTTGCTGAGGCAATCAGAGGACTTGAAAGCTGAATGCCATAACTGGCAACACAAAGTGCTTCACCAGCAGCATGGAGAAGGTGCATCTCATTTGTATCCCAGTGCCAACATTCCACAAGAAATAAATACGATGTCAGTGCTAAGACCTTTGTAGATTCAGGGCTGGTGCAGGGGAGGTACTGGAAGAAAACGTAACCTTTCCCACTTTCTTCAAGCATTGAAAAACCCTACTGTGACAAAATGATGAATGTATGAGGAGAGAGTTGGAGCAACTGCGGCACAAAGTCAGTGTGTGGTGATGTGTTCTGCTCCTTGCATGGTCTGAACTCTGATTCTGCACAGGACAACGTGTTGCTGCCCAGGTGGTCTAACAGAAACAGCCCTGGGTGGGAAGCATTGTGATGTTTGTTATAGTTGAGGGTCTCTGTTCAGGAAAATGAAACCAGGGAACACTGCTGAACAGGCAGCGCTGGAGGAGAAGTAAAGGATACAGAGGGCTGGCAAACTGTGACTCCATGCTGTGCTCTGGGAGAGCTGTGGGAGGAGAACACGCATGGGGCTTGCCTGCAACCTTGGAATCCACCCTTTGCCGTGGGAGAGCTTTGCCTTGGGAGAGCTGTGGGTGGATGTAGTTCTGTAATGTTTCACCTGGCAACAGAGAGATGGAAAATCTGGTGCAGAATGTCATTTAGCCGTGGCCTTTTTCTTGGTCTGTGTGAGGTCAAGCTGCTTTACTGCACAGGTCAACAAGGACCAAATATCTGCAACTGATTAAATTAATGGAGCTCCAATTCAACACTGCAAGGTGGGCTGCTTTATAGCCACGCTTCTTCCATCCAAAAGAGGCAATGGATGGTTTGATGGCCTGTGGCAGACCTACTTTTGGATGCCACATGCTGCAGGGGCACGTCCAGTTCTTGGGTTTCAAGGGGAGTAACTGCCTGGAGGTGCTGCAGGAGTCTGTCACAGGAGGGTGCTGCTGGCTGGTAGGTGTTCAAAGCTCCAGCAGGACAGGATAGCTCTTGCTGCATCAGTTCTTGCTCACACAGGCTGGATTGGCAAGCTCAAAGATGCTGGGTACTGATCTCTCGCTGTTCTTGTTTGCCAGCTGTCCTTTGTGCCCACCCAGATAGAGTATTTGTCACGTGGGGCACAGTTCACCTCCATGGCTGGTACGGTACTGGCTTTACTGATGCTGGAGGTAGATTTGTCAGCTTTGTGAGATGAGGTCTTCTGTTTAAATCTTGAACAAGTAAAGCTTGAAGCAGGTATGGCTTATGCGTCTGCCCTCTCCAGGAGATTCAGGCAAGGTGTTCAGTCCTTCTGAGACAGCTAGTGAAGAGAGAGAAATGGCAGCCTCTCTTACTGAGACATTTGCATCCTAAGAGTTAGCACCTTCAGCCTCACTTTTAGGATGTAACGCCCATGTGGGTGTTGAGAATGGGTACCTGCTGTTCCCTTCCCAGCTGTCCTTGGAACTGAGCTGGCAGGGTCTGAGTTAGCTCACAGCTTCTCTGAGCCACTTCATCAGCCTTGTTTAAGCAGGAGCATTGCTTGAACCCAAGCCCTCTGTTGGCGCAGTGGTACACTTCACATGCTCTCCTTGTTGCTAGTTGGACAGAATCTTACTTGCTTTTTGCTGAAATGGCTGGAAATAATAATCGGTTCCTCCAAGAAGAGGTGCTCATTTGAATTGCCTAAGCTCTAATTCTTTCCCAGCTTCCCCAGTCACCCACACTTTCCTTTCTCACCATGCTCGGCTGCTGGGAACTAGCTTTGCTTGTGCCTCTAACCTCTGCTAGCTTGGCCCTTGCTCTCCCCCCACCCCTACCCGAGGGCTCTGACCTGCTCCCTGGAGAGAGATGAGTGACGTTGGAGCTTCCTTGTTGAGGATCCTTAGATCTTTCTGTCTCTCTTTAATTGTATCCTCTGTTCAACCCCAGCTGCCCTTGGACAGCTGCCAGATGCCCTAGCTGTCACAGGTTTCACTGAGGATTCATGTCACTCTTCACAGCGTTCGTTTCCCCATACAGCTTTGTGGCACACTGAAACAGCATCCAGAGGATATGCATCACTCCTGTGGGGGAAGGCAGCGATGTCTCTGTGAGGTGTCGTGTCCCAGGTATGGTCTTTGTTTTGTTTTATTATTATTAGGAAAAAAAACAACACTCCCATTCATCTCCCTCAGGCTAATGCTGATGTCACATGGGCTACAGTGTGATTTGGTGTCATCATAAAGTATTCATACAGAAAGGATCTTTCCTTCTCTGTGTTCTCCAGAACAGTAAATAAGTAGGACCAAGACACAATGTTGTACTGCTCATAACATAAGCGACTTTCCTTCTGCTTTCCATCCACAGCTCTTGAAGCCTTTTTCTGACTCAAAGAGCTGTTGCTCTGCATTAGGTAGGAACCTGAGAGTCACACAGATTGTTTGAAGGCTCATGGCAATTTTGTAAGTGAAATGGAGTTAAAGGATACCTTAATTCCTTGTCTGCTTTTCCGATCTTTCTCCTTCTTGACCATAAGCATATTAATGTCTACCTTTATTAGTGGAAAAGTATTGGTGGACACTGAGTGTGGAGGTCAACATAGCTCTATTATTAGGTTTTCTTTGATAAAGGATATTGTATCAACTTGGTGAGATATTTTCAATAATGGAACTTCATTGCAGTTCTCCTGTAATTAAATATTGATTCCCTATTTCTTTCTCTAAAAGCCTAAGGCCTTCCCTTATTATGTCACTCTCCCACCTATTGTTAAGCTATGATTCTATGAGATGTGTCTGTGCTGTCAACATCAGCTTAAAATGTGCCTACCCCTCTGCTTTTTCCTACAGTGGCCTCACAGCACATTGCCTCCTGAGTTTCTGCCACTGCAATTGTTGGCATGCTGTAAATCCGATCAGGGAGCCGAGCTGGTTCTAACAAGTGAATCATTGTTTTGGGTTTCGTTTTGTTTCTTTTTTGTTTGGTTGGGTTTGTTTTGGTTTTTGTTTTTTTGTTTGTTTTTTTTTTTCCCTAAAGTGGTGTGTTTCACAGTGCTGCTGCAGGAGAAAATTGTGCTGGCACAAC